GGGAGGGGAGGGAGGGGAGGGAGGAAGGAAGGGAGGGGAGGGAGGGAGGGGAGGAAGGAAGGAAGGAAGGGAGGAAGGGAGGAAGGAAGGGAGGGGAGGGAGGAAGGGAGGAGGAGGGAGGAAGGAAGGAAGGAAGGGAGGAAGGAAGGAGGGAGGGAGGAAGGAGGGAGGGAGGAAGGGAGGAAGGGAAGGGAGGGAGGAAGAAGGAGAGGAGGAAGGAAGGAAGGAGGAGGGAGGAGGAAGGAAGGGAGGGAGGAAGGAGGGAGGGGAGGAGGAAGGAAGGAAGGAAGGAAGGGAGGAAGGGAAGGAAGGAAGGAAGGGAGGGGAGGAAGGGAGGGGAGGAAGGGAGGGGAGGGAGGAGGGGAGGAAGGGGAAGGAAGGAAGGGAAGGAAGGAAGGAAGGGAGGAAGGAGGAGGGAGGGAGGAGGGAGGGAGGGAGGAAGGAAGAAGGGAGGAAGGGAGGGGAGGGAGGGAGGGAAGGAAGAAGAAGGAAGGAGGGAAGGAAGGGAGGGAGGAGGAAGGAGGGAGGGAGAGGGAGGGAGGAGAAGGAAGGAAGGAAGGGAGGAGGGAGGAAGGGAGGAAGGAAGGAAGGGAGGAAGGGAGGAGGAGAGGAGGGGAGAAGGAGGAGGAGGAGGAAGGAAGGAAGGAAGGAAGGGAGGAAGGAAGGAAGGGAAGAAGGAAGGAAGGAAGGGAGGGAGGGAGGAAGGGAGGAGGGAGGAAGAAGGAAGGAAGGAAGAAGGGAGGAAGGAAGGGAGGGAGGGAGGAAGGGAGGAGGAGGAAGGGAGGAAGGAAGGAAGAAGGAAGGAAGGAAGGGAGGGAGGAAGGAAGGGAGGGAGGGAGGAAGGGAGGAGGGGAGGAGGAGGAAGGAAGGAAGGGAGGGAGGGAGGAGGAAAGGAGGAGGAGAAGGAAGGAAGGAAGGAGGGAGAGAGAGAAACACTCTCTCTCTCTCATTCTATAGTAGGTGTATGTGTGTGTGTGTGTGTGTACTTAGCGAGTGAGTTACCATGTGACTCACTCAATCACGTACCGCCACACACCTTATCTGACAACACTTGTACGCTTTCCCTGGGGTGTGAGAGAGAGAGAGAGAGAGAGAGAGAGACTAGAATATAGATATAGCTAGACAATAATAATAACAGCTCCTTATAATAGAAACTTTTGCATAATTATAGAAAAATTAACTATAACACTTTTTCCTTCCCGCCAAAATGTGTTCTTAGACCATAACACACTTTTCCTTCCCCACAAATGTTGACATTAAGTTGCCTAGTATCACAGACAGATGTGGTAATAATATATCCCCTTCTGTGTTCGATACATTAGGGTTGGGTTAGGTTAGGTTGGGCATAACAGTGTATATGAATCATTTATCAATCACACACACATGCTACGACGACTTAGGTCACTTGGGACACCCACGCCAGAGCTGAGGACCATCTACAACGCCTTTATTCTCCCCAAACTAACGTATGCGTCACCAGCCTGGTCGTCTTCTCTCAACTCCACCCAACAACATCAGCTAGAGAAGGTACAGAAAAGGGCCTGCAGAATCATGCTCGGCGCAGGCTACTCCGGCTACACCAACGCTCTCTCCACCCTGGAGATGCCATCCTCAATGACCTCCACCACCAAGCACTAGAAAGGTTTGGCAGCGACTACTGCACCACCCTCGTCACACCACCTCCTGCCACCTGCAGTCCCCACCCACCTCGCACAGTCCGCCACTACAACAAAATTCAGCCCATAAGAGCCCGCACCGATAGATATAAGAACAGCACCATCCCATCTATTGTTAAAATAATAAACAACTCCCTGATTTATGTACTGTACAGCCCTGTAAATGTATTCACTCATATTATATCATTATGTCTAAATCAAATGTAAGTCTGTATATTTTCAGCCACCGGCTGCAACTCTATAATAAACCGTTTATTATTATTATTATTACACGCACACAGCGACACACACACACGCACACACAGCCACACACACACACACACACATACAGCACACGCGCACACAGCGACACACACGCACACAGGTACACACGCACACACAGCTACACACGCACACACTCAGCGTAATAGAGGCAGCACTCACCCCCACACACCAGAGATGGAGGGAGACACTGAGGGAGAGGGAGGGAGGCACAACAGGGCCAAGGTCACGAACGTCGATAATCTGGAGGAGAACCATGTAGAGAGCCACCCTACCTCCCTCAACTCCTCCTACCTCCCTCACCCTTCCTCCCTCACTCTCCTCCTCCCCACCCGCACCACAACAAAGTGATATTAAGCCATGAACCTACACTAGACATGTCAACCTGAAGTGTATGTGTGTATGTATATGACTTGTATGTATGTATAGGTGTGTATGTATGTAGATAGTATGTATGATGTATATGTATGTGTGTATGATGTGTGTGTGTGTGTGTGTGTGTGTGTGTGTGTGTGTGTGTGTGTGTGTGTGTGTGTGTGTGTGTGTGTGTGTGTGTGTGTGTGTGTGTGTGTGTGTGTGTGTGTGTGTGTGTGTGTGTGTGTGTGTGTGTGTGCAGAATCTATTTATCTATATATGAGACCTCAATTATATATACACACACACACACACACCAGAAACACACAACACACCAGACACACACACACAGACACACACACACACACCAGCACACACACACCAGACACACACCTCACTCCATACACAGACACACACACACACACACACCAGACAGACACACACACACACCTCACAAACACACACACACACACAGCACACACACACACACAAGACACACACACAGACAAACACACACACCACACACACACACACACACTAGGGCACACACACACACAGGCACACACACCCCACCACACTAGACACACACACACACACACACACACACACACACTAGGCACACACACACACACACACCAGACACACACACACACACACTAGACACACACACACACACACACACACACACCAGGCACACACACACACACACAAGACACACACACACACTAGGCACACACACACCAGAGAGACACACACACACACACACCAGGCCACACACACACACACCAGGGACACACACACACACACACACACTAGGCACACACACACACACACTAGGCACACACACACACTAGGCACACACACAGACACACACCAGAGACACACACACACACACACACACTAGGCACACACACACACACACACACACCAGACACACACACACACACACACACACACACACACACACACACACACACACACACACAGACACACACACACACACACTCAGAAAACACAGACACACACACACACTAGACACACC